CAAATAACTTTCCCAAGTGCAGCTAAGCCATATCACTGATGTCTTGAGTTTGCTGTGTCCCGATGTTTTTCTTTTGTTCAGTCTAGTGCAGCTTTAGTTTTTTTGCTTTCTTTCCCTTTGCTCTGTTTTGTTTTTCTTCCCCCTTTCTTTGCGTGTTCCAGGTGGATTTTTAGCGAGATAATATTATATTGTGGTTTTTTTTTTTTTTTTCCTTTATTTTTTTTTTTTTGGCACCGTATAAGCCGTCGAGTTTTCCGGGCCATGCATGAAAATACCGAGGGAAAAAAGTTGATGCGAATCATACTCGGAAATATAACAAGGGGTGAGAAACCTATGGGAATCTCAGCTTGACATGATATATAGGTGGTCTAACTCATCCACCCCCCAGAAACAAGAGCCCTTCGGGCGTATTCCCCTTTTACTTACCTTCGAAAGGCCTCGAGTCGGGGGTGGGGAGGAGGGAGGGACGGAGGTATGGCTTAAGAATATCAGAGAAGTTTTCCCCAATGCTCTCTTCACGTGAATACGTCAATACAGAGAATGCCCCTTAAAAGATCCGATAGGTAAATACAGTAACTACATGTTTCTGTTTACTTTGATACCCAGGGAGCTAGAAAACCTGGGATTGAGAAATACTTCCCAGATGGCCAAAGTCGGAAACGGAGCCAGGGCCTGATGCTCTCTGACCCGCGTCTCCTCCGCCTCGCTTGAAGCTTCCTTCCGGCCGTTTCATCAACCATATCTCATCTACCTGGGCTCTCCAGAGACTTTCATGGAAAAAAATGGAACAGGTTGCCGAATTGCTATTTGGAAATGGATTTTTCGTTGATCTTTGCAATACATTTTCCCCCCGCATGCAGCGATTTGCTATCAACCTGCAGCGATCGTATATTAGTAATCGCCGTTATGCTGGATTAGACATCAAAATTTCGAGATATTATGATGATAAGTGTATAAAAATCAAGAGGAGATTAAATTTATTTGACTATTACACTCAGTATTCACCTTTGATAGTTTCGGCGCCCGATTTCTGGCTTCGGTTGCGGTGCGGTGTGGCTTTGGCGCTCTCGACCATACCTAGGTATCGTGATGGGAATCGTGAACGGACCCCAACCCTTGATCCGGCTAATGTGTCCAGCTGCCTTTAACATCGCCTGACCACTTCGGCAGTTTGACAGCACGGTGTCTGAAGATCGCGTATCAGGATATCAAGCTTCTGCACCAGCGCGGAAACAACAGTTCTCAATTCATCAGAGCTGACAGCATGTCATTCACAGCTAAGAAAGACAAGTAATACTTTACGGGCTTTGAGTTACGTCTGGAATTTAATGCTTCTGGTGAAAATTAAATGAAGAGTATATGCTGCTTTTCAAGTCGAGATAGAGAAAGAAGGAGAAATTACTGGGGAGGGAGAAGGTTTGTTCCATGCGATGGTCTTCGGAGGGATTACACGGTATTATAAATATTATCAGAATCCGTTGACGGGAGAAGAGCACGTAGTTTTATTAATTCAATAGAATTTTGGGGACATAACATAGTCTTACTATATGTCTGACACATGATATGAATTATATTGCTTAAATATTGTTCAAGAAGCAAAATATATCACGTATTGTAGTCAAATCAAGGGGGAGGAAATATAAAATAGGATTCTGTCGGAGATAATCTCTTATAACATTTCGTG